CTTTGTGATGACCTCAGTGTGGATAACTCCACATCAAGTTCACTATAGTGAACCACTGATGTATTTTATACATGATGATCATATCCCCCCTTAATCCTCATCTTCTTCTAACAGTGAAACTTGCGAATAAATTCTGTTCCTCTAATCTATCTCTCATAGCTGACGCTCCTCCATTGCCTCTTATCAGTTTGTGTTTTGCCCTTCTCTATACTTTTCTCCAGTTTCCCCAATGGTTCTTTATTGTAAATTGGTGCCTACAACTGAACTTCATATTCCAGATGAGGTTCTCACTAAATGATTTGTACCGGGGTGGAACTATGATTATCTCTCCTTCTTGGAGTTCTATACCTCTTTTACTCCAAGAGATGATTATGAATTGTGGTACTACATTTACAACATCATACCTATACTACGGTGATACTCATTAAAGATAGAATTTTATCGAGAAAGGTTATAATTGAGGCTAAACTTAAATATGGAAATGGATCATGTAGCCAAAGATGAATCAGGAGACTGCTTATGATATCTAACCCTACTGTCTAAAAGAACAGGAAAAATAGTGTTGTTCATTAGTGACAACATTTTCAGCTTCAATACAAATCAATTCAATAAGATCATTCAACAATAATTTTGAAAATCATAATGGCAGAAACCTATTCTATCTAAACGTGTTTACCTAGAAAAATCGGAAAAATTTGTTTTTAGAAAGGTACCGCACCCTGCAGAACAGATATGTGCGCACAACATTTATAGACCCCCCATCCGATCTACATTTTTATACCACAAATGAAAGTCTTCCTATCCCTGTAAAAAATGCGTGATATGTCAGCCAAAGTTAAAATCCCGCTCAAGGAAGATAGACTAGCCTTTTCGTCCACCTGTACGGGGGGACGGACCATATGAGAGATCTCGTCTTTTTATTAATTTGCAATAGACCCCCCCTAATTATGCTGTCTACTTCTTGAGAGTCTCTTGCTAAAGACAATTACAATTGATATGGTAACAACAGAACAATTTCGAGGGATCTAAATGCAGGGAACACATTTTATAACCATCCAAAAATAGGCATCAAAGAACACCTCCTTGACCAAACATTATCGTTTACCATCACAATCATGAATCCCTCAACTCTTAATATATATGTGTATAGAAGTTTTTAATTTTTGATAACCATTGGAGAGGGTCCAATAATACCAATACTGGGTGTCTCACAATCAGAGACCAAGTGGATTTTTAACATGAGGGAACCTATGCACCAGTTTGGACACAACTATGGGAACATCACCATTAAAATTGCTTTATCGACACTAGTTAGGGAAAGTTGTGTCCTCTCATGGAGTTTTATACTTTTTATATATACATACATTGGGGGGGGGCGGGTGGCACATTAATTTTTAGTAATATTCATATATAGTTATAAATTTATATGGCTAGTGGGCAGTTTTTAGGCTCTCCTGGTCTACAGTAGTTTTTTGAGGCTATTCCTGGTCTACATTGAGTTTTTTGAGACCATGTAGCATTGCTCAATATGTTTTTTACTTTATATAAGTCAATTAGTCCTTCATTATACTAAGCCAGCACATGGTCATCCACACCTCCTTACCCAGATATAGGTATTGGAGGATATCCCAGGTCCTATATGGTTCCTTTCATTTTTATTTTATTTAAATAATATTTTTATTATATCCTTTTATTTTCAAGATAAAACCAAAAAAAAAAAATTTTTATTACATATATTATTTCATTTTATCATATAATATCTTTCAATTTCTTATCATGCAGATTAAACGTTCTTCTGTTAGATATGACCATTCATACTGATATATTATTATTATATACAGTATTATATATTTAGCGCCATACAGTTTGCTCAGGTCGCTGTGTACATTAATTAATGGTACACAGTTACACGACGACTGTACAGTAACAATACATTACAATAAATTGCGGGGTGGTTCGAGGGCCCTGCTCCTTGGAGTGCTTACAATTCTAGTAGGGGAGGGGATAGTAGTGGTACAGGAGGAAATAGCTGTGGGGGGGATGGAGTGGTAGGAAGAGTGGAGGAGATCGGCAGTTATGGTGATGGTCGTGGTCTAGCCTTCCCTGACGAGATGGGTTTTTCCAGGGTGAGCCTAAAGGTTAGGAGAGTAGGTGACAGTCTGATGGAGTTTGGTGCGGGTAAGTACGTTCCAGAGGATGGGGGAAGCCCTGGAGAAGTCCTGGGAGATGGGCCATGGGAGAAGGAGATCCAGGGAACTAGAGAGTAAAGCGGTCTCTTGTGAGGAGTGGAGAGTATGTTTATTGGGTGGTATATGGATATTCAGATCAGTGATGTAGTATGGGGCTCAGTATTATGACCAGTGCTTTGTACGTCCAAATGTAGCATATTTGAATTTTTATGACGATTGGGCTGATCGGTGAAAAGCCAGTGGACGTGATTGATAGAGTGAGATGGCGATACAGATGCGGTTAGTAAGGTGGAATGAGTTCTGGCCGGCAGAATTCAAGATAGGACTGTGAAGCGGGGATGAAGCCTTGTGATGAGGTAGCGCCGGTGAAGAGGTAGTCTACAGTAGTCAAGTCGGTGATATAACAAGGGAGTGAAATGAGTTGCTTCGTAGTTTTCCTGGGGTTAGGAAACGGGACGTATATTGGAGATGTTGCGGAGATTGGAGTCTACATGAATTTGTCAGTGATTGGAATCTCGGTGCTGGAAAAGACAGATGTTTGGAGTCTTCTAGAATGAACACCTAGTTACTCTGGCTTTTGCGGGGTGCGGACTGATTAGGTGGCGTTGTTGGCCGTGATGGAGAAGTCGGTGGGGTGCGGGGGCGGTGACTGGCTAGGGGGGAAAACTCGGAGCTCGGTTTTGGATAAGGTTTAATTTGAGGAAGTGGAGTGACATCCAATCTGAATATGTCGTTCAGTAGGCTTATGTGATTGTCTGGCGGACACCGAATGGGTTTGGTCTGCGAGGGCGGTTAGAGAGATAGTAGTTGCATGTCATCGGCATAGAGATGGTAGTTGAAGCCGTGGGTGTATATCAGTTGGCCAAGGGAGGAGGGTGTTAGATGGAGCACGATGAAGGGTCGCGACTTGAGGAAGAACCTTGAGGACCCCAACAGAGAGGGGGAGTGAGGGGGAAGGTGAATTGCAGCGTTATAGGTAACACTGAAGGAGCGCTTTGTGATAGATAGGAAGAAAAGCCAGGAGAGCGGAGTCCCTGAGGCCAAGAGAGTTTAGTTTTTGAGGAGGAGGGGGTTTATTACTTGATTTTTACTTTCATTTTGAGTATACATCATTTTTCTAATTGTTTTTATGTATGCTGCTTATTCATTGCTCATTTATTGTATCTCATGAGGATTATGTAATTTTATGTTCACACATATGTTGTATTTATTTCGAGTTGATGAATTTTATGTCCATGCTTAATTTTTACCAAGGCGGCTTTTTTATGTATTAATAACAATTTTATAATAACTTATAATGCAGATATTTGCTATTATTACCAAAATCCACTGAATATACACTTTGTCTCCCATTATTAGAGGGAGCGTTGAATTTGGCCACATATTGTTATTATGACAACTAATACATTGTTTCCGTCTAAGACTTAGGGAAAAATGGTGCCTGGCCATTCCCCTATCAGATTATAAAAAAATGGCGCCCACGCATGCACAATGCATGAGTTAGCAGCGCAGCGCAATTAATTAATTAATTAATATTCCCCGCACATAATAAATTGATATTTATATTGCTATATAATTGCCCAAGTTGGTAAAATCTCATTAAAACAGAGTGCGGCGGTATCGCTGTATGCTGTATGCTGTATGTTCAGCATACAGAGCCGTTCTAAACAACATCCCCTTTCCCTAGACTTAAGGAAAATGGCGCCACGCATTTTGCGCAGTACAACACTCGGTTATACGATTCCCTTGCCATAGACACAACACTCGGTTATCGATTTCCTTGCCATAGACCAATGCAAAAATGGCGCCCATGGTTCCATGCATGCGCACTTCGGTCTTCGGCAAGATGGCGCCTGATGTTTCATTGGCGCTTTTTTTAAAAAAATATAGAGTATATAAACAGCAGAATAAAGACGGCAGGCTGCAAATAGGCATACCCCTTTTGACAATGTACTTTTAGTACGAAACGCGTCAAGGAGGAGCCCCTGCAAGCAATTGATGTCTATGCCCGTCCGGATCACAGAGGTCCGGCAAGCCACCCTATGACACCAGCTGGTCAGTTTGCATTTTACGCAATTTGTCATTTATATTGCTCCTGTTTATACTGCATTTTCTGTATGTTTTTTGGATTTTACTCTTTTAACCATTACAATTAAAGCATTATTTGAATATACTACACTATGGGATTATCCCTATTCTTTGCTCCGCACCAAGCACTTTAAATCCGCAGCGAACTCTGGTGAATCCCCCAGTGCATGGAAGAGGTTGAATCATTACATACTGGCTACCCCCAAGATGCACCCGGGACCACCCTTATGAAGGGACCCGTGACTGATCCACCATATACCATGATACAACACAACTCACTTTTTATTAGCGCATCTGGTGTGTGCGCACTTTATATATTTATTGGTACACGCACCTGTGACTATCTGCTAACTGGGATCTAATTACATCATCCAGAGATCCATTGAGAAAATTTAATGACATCACATGGTTTGAATGCATTTCACGTTTATGCGTTTGGCATCATTAGTATCATCCAAAGTTGGACTTATCCAACTCAGGGCTGCAAGGTGGTTCTCTCATTCTGGGAGGACATCATATAACGTCCTCCCATTCTAGCCGTTCATGTGCGGCACCAGGAGCTCGGCAGCACGGCGATCGCCGATCAATGGAAAGAGCCAAAGATGTTGGCTCGGTCATGTGGTCAGCTGTGTCCAATCACAGCTGATCAAATGTAAACAAGGAAATGCATTTCTCTCACGCTGACAGCTGGAGAGCTGGTAATCGGCATTCCTCGGAGGGGACATGTACACAGATCATCAGGGCACTGATGATCCGCGATGTGCCCTGATAATCTGTGTAGCCCCAACAGTGCCACCTGTCAGTGTCCATCATTGCCAGCTGTCAGTGCTCATCCATGCCACCTGCCAATGCCCGTCAGTGCCCACATCAATGCCACATTTCAGTGCCTACCAGTGCACATTAATGCCACATATCAGTGCCCAACTGAGCTGCCTTTCAGTGTCACCCATCAGTGCAAGTCAGTGCCACCTATCAATGACAGTCAGTGCCACCTATCAGTGCTGCCAATCAGTGCCACCTATCAATGCCAGTCAGTGCCGCCTATCAGTGCCAGTCAGTGCTACCTATCAGTGTGCATCAGTGCCGCCTATCAGTGCCCGTCAGTGCTGCCTATCAGTGCCGCCTATCAGTGCCAGTCAGTGCCGCCTATCAGTGCCAGTCAGTGCCGCCTATCAGTGCCATATATGAGTGCTGCCTTTCAGTGCCCATCAGTGATACCTGTCAATGCACATCAGTGCCACCTACCAGTGCCTCCTCATCAGTGCCACCTATCAGTGTCCATCAGTGCAGCCTATCAGTGCCCATCACTACAGCCTCATTAGCGCACATCAGTGAAGGAGAAAAATCACTTATTTACAACATTTTATAACAAAAACTAAGAAAAAACTTTTTTTTTTAAATTTTCAGTGGTTTTTGGTTTGTTTAAGAAAAATAAAAAACTCAGAGGTGATTAAATACCACCAAAATAAAGCTCTATCTGTCTCAAAAAAAAATGATAAAAATTTCATATGGGTACAGTGTTGCATGACCGCACAATTGTCATTCAAAGTGTGACAGCGCTGAAAGCTGGAAATTGGCCTGGGCAGAAAGGGGGAATAAGTGCCCCTGTAGGCTAGTGGTTAAAGGCATTGATCAGCTGGCTGCCTTCTCCACCACTCTTCCTTTAACCGAACGAAGCCTCAGAAACACGTTGTCCAGAAAATGGTAACCTCTCAGTGTCTGGAAAGATGTTACACAAATTTTTCTTCAAGGCTTCCTTAAGATGTTTCATCCTCTACTCCCTCTGCGAAGGCAGGATGAGCTCTGCAACTTAACCTTGTAATGTGGATCAAGGAGGGTTGCCAAACAGTAATGATCCCTCTCCATACCACGAATCTTCAGATCTTTATACAGGCTTTGCAGAATCAGGGAGCCCATGCAGCCTCTGGGTCACTGAGGATGACACTGTCATTTTATTTTTCACTCCATAAGACGCACCACTGCGGACACACTACAGGAGATGACCAGAGACTGCAGACATAGTACAGGAGATGACCAGAGACTGTGGACACAGTACAGGAGATGACCAGAGACTGCGGACACAGTACAGGAGATGACCAGAGACTGCGGACACACTACAGGAGATGACCAGAGACTGCGGACATAGTACAGGAGATGGTCAGAGACTGCGGACATAGTACAGGAGATGACCAGAGACTGTGGACACACTACAGGAGATGACCAGAGACTTCGGACACACTACAGGAGATGACCAGAGACTGCGGACACACTACAGGAGATGACCAGAGACTGTGGACATAGTACAGGAGATGGCCAGAGACTACGGACATAGTACAGGAGATGACCAGAGACTGAGGACATAGTACAGGAGATGACCGGAGACTGCGGACATACTACAGGAGATGACCGGAGACTACGGACATACTACAGGAGATGACCGGAGACTGCAGACATACTACAGGAGATGACCGGAGACTGTGGACACAGTACAGGAGATGACCAGAGACTGCGGACATAGTACAGGGAATGACCAGAGACTGCAGACATAGTACAGGAGATGACCAGAGACTGCGGACACAGTACAGGAGATGACCAGAGACTGCGGACATAGTACAGGAGATGACCGGAGACTGCGGACATACTACAGGAGATGACCGGAGACTGTGGACACAGTACAGGAGATGACCAGAGACTGCATACATAGTAAAGGAGATGACCAGAGACTGCAGACTGCAGTAATGCTTATGGAGCTATAGAGTTTAACATCAAGGGCTAAAAGATAGCATATTTTTTAAATACCAGTATGAAGAACAGAATTTAATTACAATGGAAAACGAATCATTTTTAATGGTGTCTGTTCACATCAATGCGACTTAGCACAGAGCCATTTTGTAAAAGGTTCCTGTATGATTTATCAAAGCAGTGTCCAAGTAGCATCGAAGTAGCACTACAAAATCGTACTGAAAGCCAGCTCAAAATCACATCACAGCAGTGTGAACCTAGCCTAAAGGGTAAGTTCATCTTTTCATGAAATACCAAAATATCCTGGCCTCCCCTTTGGACCCGCTTCACATAGCTGCATATATCATGGCAACCCTTTCAGTCCTGCTGCACATAGTAGCTGTGATTCTCCGTGCTGCTAGTGTAGCAGTCCATACACTGCAATACACAGCCTCAGAATGAATAGCCATCATATTGCTCACAATGTTAAACACTCATTGGTCAATACAACCACATGACCATACTGACCAAAGAGAAGTGTATCTGAGGCTTATTCTTCCAGTAAGGTGTTCCACAATCAAAAGATCCTCAGCATGCCACTTGATATCAGGTCAACCTAATGGTATGGCTACTCAAAGAGCTGTCATTTGTTGGGCTGTTTATTATTACAGCCTTGAACAGAGAGACTTGAACGGAGTCAAGGAGGCATTCCAGGTTGCAAAGGCATTATGACTCTTCCCCGTTCTCTCCGGATAGATCACATAGCAGAAGTTGTCATAGTTCCAGGAGTCGTCCTTCTGGAAGCATTATTCCTGCTACTGAAAAATGTTAGGCATGTGGCAAGCCTTCTCTTCCTGACAAACCTGTTTGCTCCTCATGTTTTTCAGAAGCCTCCAGGGAAACAGAACAACAGAAGCAAAATATTACAGGTCTAATCAAGTAAGTAGTGCAAGATTATCTTAAGGAATTTGACTATACTCTAAATCTTCCTGGGCCTTCATAAGCAGCAAATCCTGCTTCTCAGGTCTCTGAACTGGCAGATTTTGAAGACAGGTGACAACAGACAGTATACGAAGTCAGGGTCAGTACATAGGTAATTAGACACAGGATACACTTAAGAAAGCAAACAGGAGCTCAGAAAACTGGGAAGTTGCTCAGGAAACATGGGCTACACTGAACATGTCTAATAGAGGCAAGCAAAATGGAAGGCAGGCCAGGAAGTGATGGAAAGGAAGGTAACATAAACTCACAGAATAACAGGTGACACCCAAAGGAGAGAAGACACATGTAAAGGCGATACGAGTCGGTGAGAAGGAGGTAATAAATTACACAGGCAGGAAAACTGCAGGCTAAATTATCACATCCAGCACTGGATGAACTGAAACTCTCTTCAGATTTTATTGTGGAGGCTTCCATTGATGCCATTCATTGCTGTTTTGCTTATAGTATCTATTTGGCTACTTTGCAGTAAAGCAAGGAAACCAAAAAAACCTGTAGTACATTAATTTGCTTTTACTAAACAAGATTGCTGTATGTACAAGCTACATACAATTATAGAAAAAACAATACAAGACAGAGTACTGCAAATATGCATACAGCACATATGCATTTATTATTTAATCTATCTAGCAAATAAGCATTATCAATGGTCTGCATGCTATAAGGAAACACTAAAAAGTCTCTTAACTTTAATTATAGTGGCTTCGCGGTTTACATAGTGATTTCCATAGCAACCAGGACCCCAGGCTGCTCAAGCAGTTGCAGGTAACTGGGTTCTATTTAGTATAGATTAAGTGCCATCCTCTGGTGAAGTCCCCTCTGGCACAATCTTCTTTAGTTTTATGGAGTCCTCCCTGGCATAATCTTCTTTAGTCTTTTTGAGTCCTCCCTGACATAATCTTCTTTGGTTTTATGGAGTCCTCCCTGGCATAATCTTCTTTAGTCTTATGGAGTCCTCCCTGGCATAATCTTCTTTGGTTTTATGGAGTCCTCCCTGGCATAATCTTCTTTAGTCTTATGGAGTCCTCCATGGCATAATCCTCTTTAGTCTTATGGAGTCCTCCCTGGAATAATCTTCTTTAGTCTTATTGAGTCCTCCATGGCATAATCTTCTTTGATTTTATGGAGTAATCCCTGGCATAATCTTCTTTAGTCTTATGGAGTCCTCCCTGGCATAATCTTCTTTGGTTTTATGGAGTCCTCCCTGGCATAATCTTCTTTAGTCTTATGGAGTCCTCCCTGGCATAATCTTCTTTAGTCTTATGGAGTCCTCCCTGACATAATCTTCTTTGGTTTTATGGAGTCCTCCCTGGCATAATCTTCTTTGGTTTTATGGAGTCCTCCATGGCATAATCTTCTTTAGTCTTATGGAGTCCTCCCTGGAATAATCTTCTTTAGTCTTATTGAGTCCTCCATGGCATAATCTTCTTTGGTTTTATGGAGTCCTCCCTGGCATAATCTTCTTTAGTCTTATTGAGTCTTCCATGGCATAATCTTCTTTGGTTTTACGGAGTCCTCCCTGGCATAATCTTCTTTAGTTTTATTGAGTCCTCCATGGCATAATCTTCTTTGGTTTTATGGAGTCCTCCCTGGCATAATCTTCTTTGGTTTTATGGAGTCCTCCCTGGCATAATCTTCTTTAGTCTTATTGAGTCCTCCATGGCATAATCTTCTTTGGTTTTATGGAGTCCTCCCTGGCATAATCTTCTTTAGTCTTATGGAGTCCTCCCTGGCATAATCTTCTTTGGCTTTATGGAGTCCTCCCTGGCATAATCTTCTTTAGTCTTATTGAGTCCTCCCTGACATAATCTTCTTTGGTTTTATGGAGTCCTCCCTGGCATAATCTTCTTTAGTCTTGTGGAGTCCTCCCTGGCATAATCTTCTTTAGTCTTGTGGAGTCCTCCCTGGCATAATCTTCTTTGGTGTTATGGCATCCCCCTGGCAACTTGTGCTGCTGGCCTCTTAATCAGAAAGTTTGGATAGCCATTCCCACATGGGTGTATACCTTTACCTCTTCCTTTCTACATCAGCTTCTATGAGAGGAGCATTTTTCAACTCCACACTCTAGATGGCACTGTAGTATATACATGCAATAGGTCAAATATGTCAAAAGGTCAAGTCTATTGTTGATTTTTATTGATGTAGCCTGGGTACAATGTTTGATAGATACTTTTTTGCTATAGAAGAAATTGCCTGCTCCATTTACCTGATAGCACAAAACATACAAATTATAATTGACATCTTCCCCAGTTTTTTGGCAGGTGTAATATTTCGAAAGATCAGATATGGTTGTAGCACCTGTTTAGACAAGCTAACCCTCCCCATTAGAGTTGAGCCAAATGTACCTGGGTTCAATTCGGGGCAGGTTCACTGAACATGACTAAAGTTCAGGCCTTGCCGAGCAAACTCCTGCATTCCCAATGTACAGGAGCAGCTGCTGGGTACGGGACTCAGGATCAGTATCTACTACAGTGATTTCCTGCTTCTAGAGGATCCCATGTTATATGCATAGTTACATTGGTCTAAGCTGAAACAATGTAACTATGAAAAAATATCCAAACCTGAAATTCTTCTTTAAAAGAATATGTACATACAAGGGTAAAGAGTATATATGAGCATTACTTTAAGTAAGTCTTATCAAGTAATAAAAGTGATAGCTGGCTTCACCTCATTCACCTCATTCACTATATTCTGGGTCAAATCCCCTTTTAAAGTGCAACTTCCCTTGCAAAGTCAACAGCCTGTTTGCTTTTAGTAATTCATCTAATTCATCGAGCCCACATGCCCTGTCAATGGACGCAGACGGGGCAACTCAAAAGCGAGCTTGCATGGCTGCCCCCATGGAAAGTAGATTTCTGTGGTGGCACGTGCGGAAGAGGAGGGGCCAGGAGCACTGGTGGGGGACCCCAAAGAGGAGGATCAGGCTGCTATGGGCAAAAGCATTGCATAGAGCAGGTAAGAATAACACTTTAAAGCGATAGTAAATCGCAGGTAAAGAAAAAAGTCCCCTGCTAGATAATTGCATAATGTGCTAGTATGCATCGGATATTAGCACATTGTGAAGGAATTACCTTTAAAATGAAGCCCTCCAGTGGCGTGCTGTCACCGCTGCAGAGGCTTCCATCTTCATCCAATCTTCCTTCTGGGTTAGGGAGCTCCGGCCATCTGACTGGCCGAGCCGTGATGACTTCCCGGGCCATGGCACAATTCTCTGAAGGAACCGCACGGGTATGCCGTTCCTTCAGTGAGCATGTGCCGGCTCTAAAAAAGAGTAAATATCTCCTAAGCAGTGCACGTTTGGGAGATATTCCTTTTACCTTTATTATAAGTTTACCTGTAAGTAAAAGTTAAAAAAAAGAGTTTACTACCACATTAATGCATACGCTGGTCACTAAGGCGTTTATTCAGATCACTGAGGAGAGAACATACATACCACTGAAACTTGTCACTGATGGCTCATTGCATTTCACTGCTGCCCATTTGAGTGCACATTGAATCACATGAATGGCCCATAAAATCCATGTCCTATGGCCTATATTGCTCAAAGCATTCTCAATGGCAATCTAAAATGCATTGTTCCCAATAGGCCCAGCACTATGTGAAGATGAAACAGGCTGCATTTAAACACATTGCAAAACATCACAGCACATTGAAATGCATGAATGGAAATAATTTACTAAAACTAGAGCAGACTGAATCTGGAGTAGCTATGTATAGTGACCAATCAGCTTCTAGCTTCAGTTTAGTTTAACTTCTTCACGTCGGCCAAACGCAAATATGCAGCCTCCCGGCGTCTGGGCCTAGACGCCGAGAGGCTGCACATTTGTTTTCTATTAAAAAAGAACATATGTGCTGAGAGTGTGTGCCCTGCGCGCTCCCAGCACACATGTCTGGTACTCACGGAAAGGCCCCGATCTCCTCTTTCGATCGGGACCTTTCCCCGAACATGTGACCGCCGTGACGGCGTGTCACGGCGGTCACATGACCATAAACCCTGCCCCGCCTCTTCTGAAACCCTTAAAGGGTCGGCAAACGCTGGCGCCAAGGGGTTAAGAATTAGGCTGATGTCATACTACAATGGTCAGCTCCCAGAGCGTCTTACCACTCTGTTCATTGCCAGCTGTGGTAGGGGCAGTGTGTTGTGCGATTCAGCATATCATACAGCTCCCTTTTTTGTTTTGTACAAACTTTATTTGAAGTGTACAAAACATACACTTCATTTATGGTGTACAACAATGTGATGCTCTATGCTGATGTACATTTCCATGAGATTTGGTGCAGTGCGCTGTGATAAAATGCAGTATGTCTGCATTTTATTGCAGCACATTGCAATGCAGCCCTAGGCTGCATTGCAGTGTGAATGGGACACATAGGAAAACATTTTTTCCTGTGTGTCCTTGCGGTGACAGACGTGTTACAATGCAATAAAAGGTCTATCACCACACATAGGGGGTTATTTACTAAAAGTGCATGGTGCAAAATCTAGTGCAACGCTACATTCAGTTATGTCCATATAGTATATTTGGACACAGGCGCAATTTGAGTTTTTTCAGGTATTTACCAAAACATATTCAAGCCATAGTTATATAATGGATATGGGCTGAAAGTGCACACTCTCAGGTTTAGGGCTCGTTCACACTTGGCTGTTTTACCAACACTTGCCAAACGCCCCTATAGCGCTTGGCAAGCGTTGGTCCGGCGTTTGCGGAGTGTTTTTTAACACTTGGCAAACGCTCTGCAAACCCCGCATGCGCGGTTTAGCGGCGGTTGCTAGGCGTTTGCCAAGCGTTAAAAACGCCCCACAAACGCCTATAAGGGCTCGTTCACACTTGGCTGTTTTACCAGCGCTTGCCAAACGCCCCTATAGCGTTTGGCAAGCGTTGGTCCGGCGTTTGCGGAGCGTTTTTTTAACGCACCACAAATGCCTATAATGCAGTTTGATTGGTGTTACCGCTCCGCAAACGCCCCGCGGCGGTTGCTAGGCGTTTGCCGAGCGTTAAAAACGCCCCACAAACGCCTATAATGCAGTTTGATTGGTGTCACCGCTCCGCAAACGCCCCGCAAACGTCGGCCAGGCGTTTGCGGAGTGGCACCATAGACTAGAATAGGAGGCTTCAAAGCCTTCTGACTCGACCAGAGGCGTCCGTTTTGATGCAACGCGACGCAAACGCTCCCGTTAGAACAGCACCATGTGCTGTAATGTGCAGAATTGGCAGAGGCGTTTGGGAAGCGGTAAAAAAAAACACTTCCCAAACGCCTCTCTGCCGCCTGCACACAACGCTAGTGTGAACGTAACCTTAAGCAGGTAAAAGGTCTGGAGTTGATAAGTGTTGTATTTGCATTTGGAATCTATTGCTATGAACCTACATCATGTGTTCAAAGGAGCTGTCCATGCAAGTGAAACAGGCCATTGTATGGGACATATTCACATCTCCTCGTTTTCTCCCGGTTTGTTTTTTGGAAAGGGTCAGGGACTTTTTTAAAAGCAAAAAGCTGCGTTATTGGTTCTATACACTTCAATGGAGACTCTGCAGAAAAGCATGTAGTGCGTTAATACTGTGTTTTTTATGCGTCTTTGACGTGTTTTGGATGCATTGTTGATGCATTTTGTGTTTTTAATCTGCATAGCAACAAGAAAAATGCATAAAATATGCATGCGCAAAAATGCAAAACGCACCGCAAAAAGCACTGCAGAAACTAATCAAATGCAAACTGCATTGCGACTTGGCAAGTTGCACGGCAAGTCGCACCCAGTGTGACCGGGATGTTAATGGACTGTACTGCGTTAATGCAAATCGCTTCAGAAAACGCTTAGGTGTGAACCTAGGGCTACTGGGGGTTCTCAGAAAACTGTTCAATCCCTGAAGAGATGTTTCGCCTTTGACCAGCAGAGGGAGCTAGTCTTTATAAATAAACACGATCATGAGACCAGACCAGCAGGGGAGCTAGTCTTTATAGATAAACACGATCATGAGACCAGCGACCAGCAGAGGGAGCTACAGTCTTTATAGATAAACACGATCATGAGACCAGCGACCAGCAGAGGGAGCTAGTCTTTATAGATAAACAGATCATGAGACCAGCGACCAGCAGAGGGAGCTACAGTCTTCATAGATAAACACGATCATGCCGATTTTCAGCCTCTTGCAGAATAAAGTGTTTCTGTGTAAGATCAGTGCCAATTATTTCAGTATAAACAGAATTTTCACAGCAATCCTCCCTTGGCTGTACTTCAGTCGGCTATATACAGAAAGGATGGCCAAGGTGATTAGAATGCCCATTTCTAATATGGCCACCGTTCGTTTCTCTGCAGATATGCGGAAGCAGTGAACATCCAGGCTTTTCATGACTTTATCCAATGACAGAGCGTGCTTCTTAGCAACATTGTCCCGCCCAGGATCTGCCTAGTAACAGATGTGGAAGCAGAAGGAAGACTGCTGGTGTTAAGAGGATGAAACAGGTAGACTTGCAGCTTATTTTTCTGATGTGATTCTGTGTAAATTAACCCTGTATGGGCTGCATCTGCAGGAACCTCCAGTTATCTTGATAGTAAAGCTACATTTACACTTGAGCCCTTCTACTTCTTCAAGTGACAGGTGCCTGAATGCTCAGGTCTGAACAGGCACCATTAGAAACAATGGGATTTTTAATGCTGAGTGTTTTTTAACTTTGAGCCTCGAAAGAGGGATGTCCCAATACTAGCGCGATCCCACCTAATTAAGCTCCCAGGAAACTTGCGCTGTACTGGGCCAATCATAAGCAGGCAAGGCATTCCCCATCCTGTAGCCACATGCAAAACAGTACATGCAGGGTGGGGAATACCCCTGCTGCAGATGATAGGCCCAATACAGTGGCAGCTTTGTAGCGGATTGCTCGGATGGGCTTGAACTAGGGTCACTCCTACAAGACGCTCCGGTGTGAATGGGGCCTAAAGGTATGTGTGTTATTGGCTATTTCATTTAAAGGCATACCAAAAAAACTTGACTATGCAGGCAAGGGGCATATAGGTAAAAGTAAGCTGTGCAGCTTTGAACAAAGTTGAATAATGACTTTGCATTAGGTGTAGGCGATTTATGTATCTCCTGATGCCTGATCAAAAAACTCCCAGAGATTGCATCATCCCATCCTGCATTGTTGCTAGGGCGTTGCTAAGAGACTCCTAGTCCACCTCCACTATGAAAGGAGATTACAACCATTGAGCTCTGAGCTACATCAGGGGAGAGAACATGCACATAAGGGGTTTGAATCAGAGAAAAAGCTTACTGATCTTAAAGATAAGATGCATAAGTCTGAATGGGTCTGGACCTTGGATTTGAAAATTACTTCCCTAAGGACTTTGACCACATGATGCTGACTGTCTGACCATCTTTAACCCATGTTATTCTGAGTGATTATTAAGTTGTCCACATCTGACCCTGGAAGACCACCCACCCTGTCCCCCTATCCCCCTATCTGCAGTGCCTTGGGAAAGTATTCATACCCCTTGAAATTTTACACATTTTGGCATGTTACAACCAAGAGCATACATTTATTTTATTTGGATTTTATGTGATAGACCAACACAAAGTGGCACATAATTGTGAAGTGGAAGGAAAATGAGAAATGTTTTTCAATATTTCTTACAAATAAATATGTGAACATTGTGATGTGCATTTGTATTCAGCCCCCTGGAGTCAATACTTTGTAGAACCACCTTTCACTGCAATTACAGCTGCAAGTCTTTTTGGGGATTCCTCTACCAGCTTTGCACATCTACGAAGTGACATTTTTGCCCATTTTTCTTTGCAAAATAGCTCAAGCTTTGTCAGATTGGATGGAGAGCATCTGTGAACAGCAATTTCCAAGCCTTACCACAGATTATCAATTAGATTTAGGTCTGAACTTTGACTGGGCCATTCTAACACATGAATATGCTTTGATCTAAACCAGTGGTCTCCAAACTGCAGCCCTCGGGCCGGATGTGACCTTTATCCAGCCCTTGAGTTACTATTTCTCCCACTGACAGGAAGCACTATTCCTTTTATTGTCAACAAGGTTGAGGCACTATTCTTTCTACTGATACCAGTAGTGGGGCACAATCCCTCCCATTTACACCAATGATGGGGCACTCTTTCTTCCACTGAAACCAACAATGGGGCACTATTCTTCCCAATGACACAGCGCTTGACGCCAATGATAGGGTACTATTCCACCCACCAATACAAACGATGGGGCATTATCCCTCCTCCTACTAACCACATGTTCCTATTGTTTACTCCCACTGACACTGAGGCATTTTCTACTTCCACTGGCCACAGTTTGCCCCCCCAAAGTCCGAAGGAAAGTAGACTGGCCCTTTGCTTAGAAAATTTGGAGACCCCTGATCTAAACCATTCCATTGTGGCTCTGGCTGTATGTTTAAGGTTGTTGTCCTGCTGGAAGGTGAACTTCTGCCCCAGTCTCTTTTACAGACTCTAACAGGTCTTCTTCTAAGATTGCCCTGTATTTGGCTCCATCCATCTTCTCATCAACTCTGACCAGGTTCACTGTCCCTGCTGAAGAAAAGCATCCCCACAACATACTGCTGCCACCACCATGTTTCACAGTGGGGTTGGTGTGTTCAGGGTGATGTACAGTATTTTGGTCTCATCTGACCAAAGCATCTTCCTCCACATGTTTGCTGTGTCCCCCACATGGCTTCTTGCAAACGGGACTTCTTATGGCCAGATTTATGGAGTGCTCGATTAATAGTTGTTCTGTGGACAGATTCTCTCACCTGAGCTGTGGATCTCTGCAGCTCTTCCAGAGTTGCCATGGGCCTCTTGGCTGCTTCGCTGATTAATGCTCTCCTTGCCTGGCCTGCCAGTTTAGGTGGACGGCCAAGTCTTGGTAGGTTTGCAGTTGTGCCATTCGCTTTCCATTTTCGGTATATGGGTTGAACAGAGGTGTTCAAAGCTTGGGATATTTTTTATAACCTAGGTTACTAATTAGGCGACTTCTGAAGGCAATTGGTTCCACTTGATTTTAGTTAGGGGTATCAGAGTAAAGGGGGCTTAATACAAATGCACACCACACTTTTCAAATTTTTATTTGTAAAACCATTAATCATTTTCTTCCACTTCACAATTATGTGCCACTTTGTGTTGGTCTATCACATAAAATCCAAATAAAATACATTTACAATTTTGGTTGTAACATGACAAAATGTGCGAAATTTCAAGGGGTATGAATACTTTTTCAAGGCAGTGTACTAGTGAGGAGGCATTTGAAATCCTCAGTATGATGGATGAGAACAGCGGGGAGTGCACATCATTGGTTTCAGAGTACGATCCTGTCAAAAGCAGTGGATCAGTGACCAAATTAGAAGAGGAAACAGTCCCTCCTAAAAGGATAAGATGCTCTGAAAGCCAGGCAACCATCAGCAGTGCCATACACCCCAATGGTGAATCGGCAAACACCAACGGCACTAGACGCCTGGATGAAAGCCCAGTACTAGTACTGGAGTATCACATCAGACCCCATAAATTGGTGCCCATACATATCTCACAGACACACTTGCAAACCCATTATGGCTGCCTTCCAACTCAGCTACAATCCCTTTTTTACTGCACAGCCAGGTGTTCAGGCCAACACTAAAGATTTTTCAGAAAAGTATTTATTTTTTTATTTTTACAATTTACTTCAATTGATTGTGAACCAGACCAATCTTTTTTCCCAGAAATATATCGCAGGCAACCCCAATTCATGCTATGCTCCTCCGTTTGAAAGGAGATGTCTCACAGTGGAGAAGTTCAGATTATTTTTGGGCCTTACAATTAACACGGGGCTTACAAAAAAAAACAAATATATGCTTACTGGTCCTCCCACCCCATCAATCACATGCCCATTTTTTCAGCTGTAATGTCCAGGTCATGCTATGACATGATTATGTACTTCCTCCATTTTAGCACCCTCCTCGAAATCAGCCTGGCTATGTGGAACTTTACAAAATCTTCCCACTAATTCATTTTTTTTTCCCAAGAGATTTCCTGAATTATATATCTCTGACAGAAGCATCTGTGTGGACGAGTCACTTGTCCACTTCACTGGCCGACTGAGAAATTACCAGTAAAAGGGCCAGATATGAATTGAAACTCAACAAGCTGTGTGAAAGAGCAACCGGCTGCATGCCTTCCACGTGTATGAAGGCAAAGATTCCCAGCTCCATCCTACATAGACACAAGTAAAAACAATTGTCCGGGACCTGGCATTTCCACTATTCAAAAAGGGGGTATCACAACTACCTGGATAACTATTACACAAGTCTGCCCCTTTTCTGCCACCTGTACCTCCAGAAAACCCAGAAGGGCTTCCCACAAAGTATGGTGACCACACAGCTACAAAGGGGGGAATCAGTGAGTCTGAGGAATGATGAAGTGTTGGCCATGAAGTGGAGGGATAAGAGAGATGTGTATGTCCTGTCCACCATCCACAATGACACCACCGTGGAAATTCATGGAAGAGATGGCCCCATCCAAAAGCCTGAGTTTATCCATGATTATAATGGGTTCATGAGGGGGTGGGGTCGAGGTTGCAATGATCAGATGTTGCAGCCCTATTTATCAACAAGAAAGTCCCTCTACTGGTATAAAAAGGTGCAATATATATTTTCCATTTGGCCATTTATAATGCATATGTCACCTATCACAAGTAACATAGAAGATGTCATTACTGCCTTAAACTACCAGCATTGAACCTCACCAGAAAGCATTTGCTCTGATTCTGTGAGCAGACGTCATGAGTGACAATTTCCAGAGAACATTCCACCAACAGAAGCAGACTGCAGACACCAACAAAAAAAAGATGTTCGGTATGCAGCAGAGAAAGAATTAGGAGAGACACCAATTTTCATTGTTCCCAGTGTCCTTCCCAACCAGGCCTATGCATTGGGAACTGCTTCCAATGTTACCACATGTCACTAAAATATTAGGCATAGTATCCATATTTCTAATAGCCTGCCATTTCCCAATTTCGAATATCTGTTCCCTTGTAAACAGGGGAGCCACTAACCAGGACAGGTCCTCTGTTTAAGAGTTACTCTAGCTAGCGGCTTAAAGAGGGACTTCCTTTCTTCCTTCCTTGAGAAAGATTGGTGGTATCCAATTGAAACATGTTATTATAGGCAAGAGGTGGGGTCATCAGTACAGGGGCATTGTTGTAAAGCTTGCACTGTCATCAGAGGTTTTTACTATCAGATACAGGCTGGGTGTCAGAGGCTGGAGCCCAGCCTGTTTGTGTTAAATTGATTAGTGCTTCTCTTGATTACTCTGCTCCTACTCAAATTGTCGTTAGGCACACATGCTTGTACTGCATTAGCAACACTGAAGCAACACAGCTCCAAAGCAACAAGCAGCCAGTGATGCAGAGTTAGTGTCTTGTTTTATTGGTATACATGTCATTTATTCTTTTTATGTTTATCTTTGCACTAAGGATTTGTGTGTG